GGTGTTGTTTTGGTCCTTTCATCCTTTCTGTAGCTATTTTTTTGTTTTATGCTCCCTTTGATTTTGGAGCCCTGTTACTGTTTTCATCCCTTTCTGTTCTGGGTTTCTTTGGGTTGTGTTTCCCCAATGGCCTTCCCCATTGATGCTGATACCAATGCTTAATGAACCAAGGCAACCTTTGCTTATGTTGTTGGAAGTGGTGTTGAAGTTCCTAAATCCTTTGACCACTTGGTTTTCCCACAATGTCTCCATGATGCTGCTGCTGGGAGGGGGGTTTGCCCCTTTGTCAATCCTTTAGGATTAAAGGAAGGGGAACCTGCCATTATCTTTTCTCCCCAAGAAATCTTTGAACTTAATGAAACAGTTAAGTTTACCCTGGTGGGTAAGTTTCAGTATGGCCATCCTAAGATGGGTAAGGAGAGGAGGTACTTTGTGGATTTGAAACTTACAGGAGCTTGGAGGCTGGGTTTAATAGATGGAAGGCACTTGTTGATTTCCTTATTTAATGAAGAAAACTATGCAAGGGTGTTTGCAGAGCAGTTTTTGATCATTAATGGTGTCCCAATGAAATTGCTGAAATGGACTCCAGAGTATGATCCCACAAAGGAACCTTCTGTAGTTCCAATGTGGTTCAAGTTCTTTAATTTACCAATTCAGTATTTCCATCAGAATGTGTTGTTCAGCATTGGTAGAGTGCTTGGTTGCCCCCAGAAAATTGATGCCCCAACATATAATGTGGCCAGACTAGCTGGAGCTAGAGTCCTGATTGAAAGGGACATTACTTTGCCTGATATTGATAGAGTTTGGATTGGAACTACTGAGGAAGGTTTCTGGCAGAAGATAGTTGTGGAACAAAAGCCTGTCTATTGCCAACATTGTAAAATGTTTGGACATAGTGTGGAGAAGTGTTATAGACTACACCCTCCAAATAAAAAAAGAGCTCCAGGGACTAGAACAACTAATTCTAAGCCAGTTGGGACAGCTGTTGAATTGGCTGATAGTGGGACTAGAACAACTAATTCCAAGCCAGTTGAGACAGCTGTTGAATTGGCTGGGGGGGTTGATACTACTGATGTGGAGGGGAATAACACAGTTGAGATTGTGCTAAGTAGTAATGCTGGGTAGCAAGAGGCTAAGTAGTAATGCTGGGTAGCAAGAGGATGAACTATGCAATGACAATAATTTAACGGAAAAGATAATACAAGATGACAACTTATTAAACATAAACCTTTCTAGGGTGGAAGATCACACTATCAATAGTTTGGCAGATGTTCTAACAGAAGATTGGCAAGTCCAAATAAGCCATAAGAAGAAAAAAGGTAAAGGAAGAAAGGTAAAGTTGAAAATAAACAGCCTATGGAGGGAACTTCTAATGTGGATCACCTTTCTAGGACTAGGGGGAAAGGGAGGACGTTTTCTTAATGATTATGGATTTTTTCTCAATGATTAATGTCCCTGTTTGGAATATTAGGGGTAATGCTCACCCCTCCTCTCTAAAGAGACTAAAAAATTTGGTGAGAATTCATAAAGTGTGGTGTTTTGCCATTCTAGAACCATTGGTTACTAAAAATCCCCACAAAATTCAGAAAAATTTCCCTCAATTTGATCATTTCTCCAATATAAATAACAAAATTTGGCTTTTTGCTAGAGTTGAACTTCAGTGGTCTGTATTGTTAAATCATTCCCAATTTGTTCACATCCAATTCCATATTGGTGCTTATATTGGATATGCACTAGCTTTCATTTATGTTAGCAGTCTTGCCTTTAATCAATCCACCTTATGGAATGAGTTAACTCAAATTGGTCAGTCTCTAAACTCTTATTGGATTATGGGGGGTGATTTAAACTGTATCTCTTCTCCTTCTGAAAGAAGAGGTGGTAGGCCTCCTATAGCTTCTGCCATGCAAAGATTCAATGATTTCCTTTCTGAGGCTGAATTATTTGATTTGGGGTATCAAGGTCCTGACTTTACTTTGAGAAGGGGTTCCATGTGGGAAAGACTTGACAAAATGCTTGGTAACTCAAAATGGGTTCAAACATTCCCATTCACTGTCATTTCTCATTTGGC